ATATTCATCGAGATATAATCATAGTAATTAGTACTGTTTAATATTTATTATGGTTTAAAAAGAAAAAATTGAAAATTACGTTTGCATCAAGAAACACGGGCCAACGGATTTTTCGAAGTACATGCGCGCGATGCGCGCAATACGCGAGTCCTTGAAGCGCTGAGTCTAACTGGCTGTGCTCCCCGACAATCTTATCCGGCTCGACGAGATAGCGCGCCGCTAATCTGCCGCGGACTTTACACCGTTAAAGCCAACGTTCAGCCAGCTTCCAGGATCGTCGGCGCGCGAAACCAAAAAAGAGTCATACCGAAAGAAATTTCGTCGTTCGGTGCCGATCTTGCGTCACGTTGCGAAATGAAATTCGGGGATTGCATAATTCATAGTCGAGAACCGGGAGAACGGTCGATTTCGAAAATTTTCGCTCGTGTAAGCGTCTACGAACCAATACGATCGAACGAATATTCCGCGTAAAAACGTCTTTGATTTTTTCACAGAAAATTTATGATGAAACAATGTAAAAATATTTCTCCGTATCGATGAAATTTATACTCCGAGAAAAAGTAAAATAATTCGTGGCATAAGGTTTATATGAGTACAGTAAATAAATCGTTGATAAATAATATAATAAAAGATAGGAAATTATAAGAGTGTAACGTCTGTAACTTATATCTAAACCCGTATAGTAATTTGGTATAATTGTTCATCGTTATTCAGGGGAAAAATTTTTCGTTCACATTTGCTAGCTGATTTTTTTGTTCGTTTAAATGTGCCGAACGAATTGCGCTCGATAATCGTAATACCAGTGGCTTGTATCGTGCCGCGCGTGTTGTTTCTTGGCCCGATAGCGTCCGTGCACGACGCCCGTTGTCGAGCTGTTTTTTTCTGGTTGACGATCTCGCCGGCAGGCGGCGCGTCGCTCGAGTCCCCTTTCGAAAATAACACACGGCCGGTTGACGTCATGTTGTCATGACTGCCGACCGCCGGCATCAACGTCGCCTCGATGTCGTCGTGTAGCGGCGTGCAAGCACAGAAAATTCACGCAGATACGACTCGTTCGCGTTCACGCGGGTTTCGAATTCGACGTGAACTTAGATTCCGTCGACTTTCGTGGCCAGGTCATGCGATAGTTGTCGTAGTTTGAAATATGTCTATATACTTTCGAGAAGAATGTGTAAAAGTAATATCGAATTATTTCATGCCGAAACTATATTATAGCCTTATCTACTTTTTGTTTATATTCGAAATTCGAATAGTTATTATTCTGAAACATTATTTTCTTTCCGTATGACAAACGAAATTCTGACCGTATTCGTACAGTTGGTACGACTGAATTATTACAGTAAATTCCAAGGATTTTATATTTTCGAATGGTTTCTCTGTCCTTCAGGTATGTGAAATTAATTCAAATATTGAATATTGTTAAGGGTTTTTGGAATAAAAGGCGAGTTTAAATATTCTGTATTATACTATTACGATTTCAATGTGTCACGCGTGCTTAGCGTACACACGCATATAGCTTAGGAATGTGCGACACCATACACTCGCCGGTTTTATCTACGGAGCTCCAACTGGCTCGAAGTACGGATTCGTGTGCACGCGTGTGTGTGTTCGTTCGTTCGTTCTCTGGCTGGCTAGATAGCTTTGACTCGTGTAGCAAACATTACCTCATCGTCCGGCATAGCCGGATCCACCACAAACCTTCTCTACTTTTGATTCTTTCCTCGTGTTCTCCGTTCCCGCTACTGTGCATGCCCTCGAGTTCGACAAAAAAGTTTTATACATATAGAAAATGTTTTTGTTTTCCTATTTTTCGATTTCTCTGTTGCGTGTAGGTTGCTTTTATGCTGGATAGGATTCTCCACGGTTTTACAAAAGATGACGTAAAAGCTGACTTCGTTAATCTTCTCGCTGCGTGGTATAGTACAACTCGGGTAGATAGGCTTCATGCAGTGAACATTATCTTATTGCGGGCGCAGTCGTCATGAATCTTTTCTAGTTCTAGTACTTCTCTCACGTTCATTCCGTTGACCCACATTCCTGACTATAAACCAGAAATTGGGGCGAATTTGTTTATAGAAATTCCGCGACGATATTTTCTTGCATATTTTGCTAACCTGACAATACAATTTATTAGACCGTTTGTTTCTATTTCGTCTTCCCTTGTTTCTTGCTTTATGTTAGCAACACACAAAACTTAGGTATAATGTCTACGATCAACTCTGAACAATAATAAATATTAAAAACTTGCAGAATTCTTCGATAACCAAAATATTACATAATGAAGTAACACTGGTTGAAACATTCAGTGACCAGATTCGACAATTCCCCGTAAGATGTCGCCTTCGATGTTGCCCTTCAGAGACCCGAAAGATCCATGACTTTGTACAATTGTGTTTATTTTGTATTCTTTAAAGAAAAGTCCTTGTAAGTCACCAAATTACAAGTTCTCCGCTAAATTACTTACGGTACGATGGACTTAACTTGAAACGATTATCAGCGGCAGAAATTTGCTCCTCTCGATTATTTCCCCGTTTGAACCAGTGCAACGATTCAAATTTAAGGTGAAGCTAAAAAGAGCCTTAGGTCAGAAGACTGGGAGCCCAACGAACCACAACCCCCTGAAAAATTTCGCGAGAGCAACAAAGAGATAGAGAGAGAGAGACTGGGACGTAGGCGCTTCTTGACTTTGATTTATGGGCAGTTAAGAGCCGTGCATTTCTGCCACACACAGCTAATCTGTTACGCGGTAACTCCCCGCAGCAACCACCCGGTGGCCGTCCCGATTCAACAAGTGCCCGGGCCATGTTTCGCAAACATCGTCAGTGAGGACGGCCGGGGCACATTCTCGAGCGCATTAACTGAAGTCTTCATCTCGAGCACCGTAGTAATACATATAACCAGTAACCATTTTCTGAATATGCTTCGGAAGAAGGAATACGTTGACGTGTGGCTACCTTTAGCTCATTGGGTAAAACAGTTTGGCTTGTCAAACTAAAGACGTCACGGATTTTCAAATATCGATTTCGATCTAACCTTATTAATTACAAGTTAATACGAGGCGAATATTTTTGAATATATTATAAGAAAGTATCGTGTTGCTTTATTAGTAAATAAAACCAAGATATCGATAAAAAGTACAATCGATGAATAAACTAGTACTTCTTAATTACAATTCTGCGAATCGTCTCTCGGATAGCTCCGGGACTGGTCGACCCTGTTGGAAGGAGAACCTTCGCGAGCGAGTCGTATTCCAAGTAGGCCGCCACGGCGGATGTGCGCTGTCGAGTTGAGATTGAAACGTTGGCTGCTGTTTCTGCTACTGTCTCTAGTCTAGTAGTTACGGTATTTGAAAAATTCATAAATTGTGCCTGGGAATGTTTCCTCGTTATTGATACAGTTCAAATAAACGTACACAATTGGAGAATATTCGAAGACAGAAGATTACACTTTGTAGAAATTTGAATAGAATTCGTTACTAGATAACGGTCGTACGAATTCAATTCGCGCGGCAAAACGACTTGTTTTGTCGCGCCGCATATCGTGACCACGCGGTATCGTCTCCGATGGCATTGCTCGTTTCCTCGGAACTTTGTTCCCCTCTCTTTTCTCGCCGCTGTTCTTGCCAGTTTCACATGTCGATCTTTGACTTCGTTGGTAGCCGAACAACGCAACGCATCGATTATCTTTGTTAAAATGACACCGAAGTCATCGTGCAACCCCTACTACAGTCACCGCGCTTCGTGACTCCCACCACTTTTTTTTTATTATTACCTTTTTTTCTTTTGCGTGTGAAATCGAACGTCGTATGCAGACCACGTGGATACGAAGAATCGACGAATATGTCGGAGGTGACATCTCGCGGTGATGTTCACAACCAACTTGTACGTTGTCAGTGGTTCTCAAACCAGTAACCACGATTTTTACCTTTCGGGTTTTCTCCGATATTATCTATTCTTTCTCTTTTCCCTGTTTGGTAAAGCTAAGGGGAGGAACGTTTATTTACTTACTTTCACTTGTACGGTCTCTGTATATCGTACTCGCATGAACATAAATCAGTGATGCCCACGTGCGCTACCATTTGTTTGAGATTACACCTATTAGATTGATTGAGTTTTAACCGACATGTATACTAGCCGACAATCGATTGCCTTCGAATGATTTAGGATATTTTCTTATTAAAAGAAACAATTCAGTTTTTATCACATTCAAAGCCATTGTTTTAACATATAATTACTAGGGAGAAATAAGTTATCAGTGTTAAAAGAGAAATTAAAACATTTGTACGCAAGTTAGACAAAGTATAGACATGCTGTGTTTTGATGGCGAGAAATATCTTCCGTGAAATTTATAAATATTTCTTTCTTTAAACATTTTTTGTATCTTAAAACGCGAGTGTGGGGGCGGACGGGTGAGAAAAAGAAGAGACGAGAGAAAAATGAAGGAGAGCATTTCACAAGGGGCCCGCATGCTTGTTGATTGAACCCATGAGTAACAACACCCCCTTGCCCCCTCCGTCTCCCTTGCCATTTGCGGCTCCCTTCCCTTCCATGCCCACTCGATCATCCATTCCAACGATGACTTCTTTCTGGTCAGGGTAGGGAGACGCCTGACGTCATTCTTCCAACGTCTGTCAGCGAGCCGACCCTCTGAGTCATGTCGTTTTGCCTACTCTCTTGCTTGCTCGTAACAAAGTATCGAGGTTCTGCAAGGTCTTTAGTGGTCATGCTGTTGAATCGTCCTCTAGAAAAAATCCCTAGCTTATCATTCGTGGTACTTGTTATTTGTATGAGTCGCAAAAGTTCACTTTTATTCCTCATGAAATGGATTTTTACGGAAGCGTTATTTCAATTTAACTTCGTATCTTGACGTTTCTGCGAAAAAAAGGTACACTTTTCTCGTCGTAACTTTCAACACAGCGTATAAAGCACATGTTTGCTTTTTCATATTTCCATTGTGTATCCGTGCAAGATCATTAACGAACATATTTTATTTATTTTCAGAGTTGTGCAATGATGGGTCTGCAGGCCACGGCAGGAAAACGTAAACTGGAGGGAGGTGTGGGCTGCATGGAGTTCGACATGGATATGGGCGAGAGCCCATCGAAGTTGGGTCGGGTTGAGGGTAGTTGGTGGGCGATGGAGGATAGCTACACCCCCCCGCTAAGCCAAACACCGACGTCATACTATGAAATGGAAGTGAGTTCGCCCTGCCTGCAGACAAATCCTTGTCAGCCGACATCGGCAAATCAACAACAACAGCAGCAGCAGCAACAACAACAACAGCAACATCAGACGTCGCAGCTGCAACAACAACAGCAACAGCAGCAACTATCGTCGACACCGACGTCAGCGCTACCGCCATCCACGGTGGCGCATTTGCATCACCATCCTCAACACTATTATCATCATCAACGTGGACCTAGCAGTCCAGTCGGTAACAATGGTTACAGTCAACTATCGAGGCCTCAGCCACAGTGGGGGACGCCTCACCATTACGAGCCGCCGACGATACGACGCGAGGAAAACGGCAAGAGTTATTTGGAGCTTGGTTCGAGTTACCGGGCGAACGAGAGGTGCTGCGAGGGCTCGAGGTCGAGTTGGTGTCGACGCGGCAGAGCCTGTTACAGGCAAAGGCGGCTAGCCGTTTTAAATATTTCGATGTGCAAGTTGGCGAGGTATCGCCAGTTTCCAGATCCGAGCCTTCATCGATCGGTCCTTATCTGCAATACACTTAGGCATCTAGAACGAGAAATGGAAAGGGACAGAAGTCCGCCGCCCATGGAGCCGGTTATACCAGCGCCGATTGCTCAACTTCAACCACCCGAGCAGGGTAGGCTAACGCCTTTCCCAATGCCACCGACGTCTTCGAACGAGACCGATGTTGACTCCGGCATCGGCGACAGCGACGATAGCCGTTCGATCAATTGGGGCAGCGTGCTGTCCCTCTCGAGTCAGTCGCCTCTAGATCCACTGAACAACAACGAGTTACTGGATGTCGATATCGGTCCAGACCTAGACCTAGACTTCATGCCTGGATGGAAGCTGACCCCCTTGTCCGCCGACGACATCCTGAGGAGTACGACGGCGCAAGAGCAGCAGCAACAACATCATCATCAGCATCAACAGCAGCAACACTTAGGTCCAGCCAGCGGTAGCTGCGGTAGCAGCAACGTGAACGGCGCCTGTGTCAGCACCGGAAGCAGCAGTAGTACGCACGAGTCGTTGATGTGCGTTGGATCATAGCCCCCAATTTTGACATCGTTGAGTCACCTCATCGACTTTTACCCGTTGATGCCGCAGAGCAAATAAATCGCGGCTTGATTAACCCAGGACTGCAAGTAAAAAGAGTGCAGACACGACATAATCCGCAACCTCTGTTCGAAAGTGCGGGCGCCTGGTCGACGAACTCTCCAGGAGGTCTTCTTTTTCTTATTTATTACCGTTCGTGTCAATTACGCACCGATCGATTATCTTGGTTACGTTCCATTACACCCATCAACAACCGATGCTACCAATGGGTCCGCTCCCTGCGGGAGAAAAAAGGGTTCCACGCGTCGTGATACCGCTGCGCTCGCAGGTGCAGACCGTAGCGGGGGGATTCATGGCCGCCATACTTTGGAAAATTTAGAAAATGCAAAACAGAAAGAGAGAGAGAGAGAGAGAGAGAGGTGATTACAATTTCTAAACCCGACGAGTACCCGTGTTCGCATGGTATCGCAAATATACATGTATGATCACAAACATCACGCATTGTGTTTTTTGGCTTCATATGGCATAGATATTTAAACTATTACGGATAGGACAATTTGATTAGCGTTATTTATTTTTATATATATATATTTTTTTTTATATGTTCAGAGAAGATTAGGGAGAATAATTATGGTCCATTTGATCCTTTATAATGCGAGATCGGGTGCTCTTCGGGCTTTTCAACCGAACACCTCAAATGTTATAAGTATATACTATATTGAAACGATCTGTTTTTGCAGTTGCACCTGCGAATACGGCGGCGCACGTATGAGTTCCCTGGTCGCTCAGAATGTCGCCATCGGCACGATAGACAGAGAAATGAGAGAGAGAGAGAGAGAGAGAGAGAGAGAGAGAGAGAGAGAGAGAGTGCGAGAGAGAGGGGAGGGAGAGAGAGAGAGAGAGGCGAGAAAAAGAGAAAGAGCGATATAGAACGAAAAGTCTTAGAGCTTTCAACGTCCACGCCCCCGGGCCGGCGATGCGGTAGACGAGTGCAGGGGATAATCTTCTAATGGAATTTCGAAGCGATGACGATGACCGGACGAACACTGTGACGAGACATAACGAATATTCAACGGAAAATCATCATCCATCTCTTTTACACATTTAATGTTCGCAATCGACGAATTTCGATAATAAACCACGTTCCAGTATCGCTCGCCTAGCCGGCTGGCGTTGAGAACTCTTCAGGCCCGTTGTCTCGGGAGTCGCATGCGACAGCCAATCGAAATATATGGGAGTATATTCGTCGATCGATGTTTTTCCTTTGGATTCGAAAGACATTAAAACCAGCCGACGATTAAATCAATGCCATACACTTAAAAAAAAAAAAAAAAGAGAAACAAACACACTAACGGGGTACATTTACACACACACGCACAAGACGCGTAACCACGGTGGCCTATACTACTACACATCATACACACATACACACATACACAGAGAGAAGAAACACATTTGGAACAGAGGCACACATACAGTGCATATAGGAAAAATCGATATGGTGCTAGGACGATCACACCCCGGTGCTCACTTCTGTATACACACAAGCCATGTGCGTACATTTGCACGGATCGCCTGCAGCCTTCGTCGAGGAGTCTAGATACGTCCTGACGTCGTGAAACAGGACACGGTGTGTGTAATCGAACGCGGTTCCATCTAGGCGTACAACGGGAAAGCTTAGGACCCAGGACTCTCCGCGTGCTCTTATCGTGGGGTGTATGTGAGGGGCAGGGGGCAGGGGGGAAGGGCGTATGGGGCACGGGGGATCGATGGAATGGGGACGCGTTCGGAGGCGAAGACCTTGTGTTCTGGCGCACGATGCCTAACAAATGTACCTGCATTTTAGAGATCGGGATTAAATATCGGTCCCTTCGGATCGTCGCGCGATGGCCACTGTGCGCCACTGATCTCCCGTAAATATGTGTACCATATACGTATATATATAAATATAAAATAGAGTGGCCGACGGGCAGATACACGAAGGTGACCAAAATTAAACTTCGGGGGTGGAGAAACAGAGAGATTAATTAGCTTCGACGAGACGCACTTCGCGAAGAGGAATGGCGATCCGCGTGTGCGCGCGATCTCGTCCTCAACGTCCACTAAACTTGCAAACAGGAGAGCAGCTATACTTAAAATTGAAGTTTAAGCGTTATAAAGCGAGTCTAACGCCGGACAAAGCTATATAATAATTTATAAATCGACTGATTACTTGCGCGAGAGAACAAACAAAAACATAATGATGATAGCTACAATAAACCGTTTTCGCGACACGAGGTGATTTAAACTGTAATTAACTCAATGTTAAGCTGACATGTTTACACAAATATACAGAGAGAGAGAGAGAAAGAGAGAGTGAGACACACACACACACACACACACACACACACACACACACACACACACACTTACATTTGTATACAAAAAACACATACACGCGACATGATTATACATGAGAGAACAGGCTAAACACTTCGATGTATATAGGTACACACTACGTGCTAAGTCGAATAATTGTCAACCGCGAATCATGAGCTCTCGGCAGATTTTCATGTACCGTTAGTTTTCGTTCGATATGCAATAGATCGCGCATAGTTTCAAAATTTTCTATGTTTTCTGCGACCGTCGTTACGTCACATTCTAAAAATTCTCTTTGGTCTCGTTGGATCGATTATGTTTCACTCATTTCCGTGTAAAACAACAAGCAATATTATTTCTCAAAACAATATGACGAATTCTCTGTGAAATGAGTGTACGTACATTAAACCGAAGGGATTCGTATGGTATCTTAAAAGCGAACGAGAGAAGAACATTTTGCAGGTTCACAGAGTGCTCTCGAAATGCTTGATGATGGTTATGCAACTTAGATGCGCCGATAGTCATTGAGCTCATCTGCATTGTTCTACGTATGATCAAGTATCCAGTCAAGGAGGCATTCGCGACAATGGGAAGAAAAAAATGTTCTCCTCGCGTGTCACTCACACGTACGATTCCCCTCGGTGCAATACACCCACGCAACTTTATCCTACGGTCGCGCGAGTGTGACATAAAACAAATATACACATACATGCATATACAAAAGAAAAACACGTACACGCATACAAATACACGCGCACGAAGAAAACGAATGTTGTGTATGAAAAATTATACATCTATATGCGTGCTCGATGCGAATGTCCGGAGCGTTTCAGGAAAGAACAATGTTGTTTTCTTGCATGGTATTGTCGGGACGAAAGAGAGAGCATGAACACCGAAGCAACTGGCACATTCGAGCTTCACTGACGTACGCTAGATTGTTAAAAAATTTCGTCCATCGCGTCGATGCGTCTCGCGCGTGCCACATATTGTGCTTCGAGATCCCAGCGCCATCTTGGTATTCCGTTTAAAAACCCACGAGAAAAATATATGTACGCGTCCTTACAGTACACGTCGACAAAAATTTTTCTCGCTTTACTGTACGGGACTAGCGTGTGTATCGAGGTGTACATATAGAAAGAATGAGAGGGAAAAATGCTAATAAACGTACGCGTAAGCGAACGTGAAAACAAAATACTCATGTGCACTGTACGAACGGTGCATCGAATCGAGTTCGCTGTTAAACGGAATACCAAGCAGGGCGTTAGATACAAAGCGTAGCGATGTTCTTGCTTCTCGAAGAAAAGAAAGGCGCTAGGGAAAGGGGGGAGGCACGAAATAATTTCGTACTTTTACACGGATGTACCTTTTGCCGCGTTAAAACGCGTTTGTGTGTGTACATACGGTGGTACTGTTGGTGAAGGGAAGGGAGTACCTGTAAATTCGGCCGATGACAGGCAGATGGGGCGCGGGTTGGATTCGTCAAATGTAGTCGGCGTGCTGCACAGAGCTTAGATTGTGGAACCGTGTGAGAGAACGACGGAACGAACTAGGTGTGTGCTTTCGACATTAACACCGGCGCGCGTATTAATGTTTAAAGAAAATAGAATGGTGTGTAATGAACACTTCGGGGGAACTACGATTTAAATGGTAAAAGAAAAAGGAAACATTGTACATAGTATAAATAGCGCACGCGCAGAAGTAAGTTTAAGCGGAAAATAAAAGATGATATAATAGGTATAATGTGAAGAAAATATACATATAAGATATTATATATTATATATATATAAACAAGAAGTATATATATAAGATTATTATATATATTTACCGTGATAAGTGATACAAAGCGGTAACGGGGACTCGCGGAATCTCGTTGTCGTTCAAGTTGATGGCGCGGGGGGGGGGGGGTTGCAGGCGGCTCGCAAACCTTTTTCTCCACTCAAATTCAGTTCTCAATGTACCTACGTGTAACCCACGGTGGGATACCGTGACCGTGTTAACGACGCGACAACTGATCGCTCTGTTGTTGTCATTCACGTTCATCCACACACACATACATACATATATATATATATATACAGAGCTCTTCCAAAACGTTTTTTACGTGCGCGTCGAGTGTCGGTAACAGCTTCTTTTTTTCTCGCAAATTTTCCGCTCTTCTTGTTGGAGCGATCAGTTGTCACTGACTGCGATGGGTCGCGATATGATCTCGTAGGAGTTGCCGTTTTTTTAACTCCTCGCAGGACAGAAATTTGATAATACTCTCGAACGAATCGTAGATTATTGGGTATGTTGAGTTATTCTATCTTTATTTTTTTTTTTTTTTTTTTTTTTTTTTTTTTTTTTTTTTTTTTTTTTTTTTTTTTTTTTGGTCTCAGAAAGTATATCGAGTTCCATTGTCCTACGAAGGAGTTAATCGAATTGGGGGTTGGCGCGAAGACGTACGATTAAGTTCCTATTACATGATATCTGAACGAGAATTAGTTAGCAATTAACCCGGATTAAACTGATGTGCAGCGACAGTTCGAGCGGGTCGCCTCGCGAACGCACCAGCGTCCTCGAAACTTTTCGTTTTTCTACGGTTAATACTATTATTATTACTAATAATACATTATTAATATTAATATTATTATTATTAATTATGTTTGTATCATTCGGCCGGCGTGGTGGGGCGCGCGGAAGAACACGGTCTCTTTCTTTCGCAACCAGAAAGACGGTGACTGGCGGGTTGTCGCTCACGGCGCGAGTACATTTGCCCGGAAAACCAACGAGAACACGGGGGAGAATAAATAGTTAGACTGGGAACGGTTTTCGAGACGAACGAGTCCCATTCGTCACCGCGTACCTAGGACAGGTGAAAACACACGACACTGTACATTGTAAATAGTAGCGTGGAGAGGACGGTTACAGAAAGACAGAGTTAATTAATTAAAAGGAAAAAAAAGGTGACGCGAGAAAATGAAGTTGCATCGAAATCGCGCCGGGCGCGTGAAGCGAATGCACGTTCCCGAAGGGATTCTGTCGATTTTCAGGCGTACAAAGAAACACTTTAGACGGAATGGAACCTGTTTGAATCGAACCGACGACGGACGTTCTTCGTCCCTGCTACGTGTGCAGGGCCGAGGCGACACCGCGAAATTCTCCCGACGCATGTCCGTTGATTACGCGCGTTATATCACGAAATTCTATTAGCCGTACAGTTCGCCTGAAATCGATGCATTCTGATGGGGTACGTTCGCCATACGAGCCGCGTGTGCGGCCATTTTAATAGAGCTAGGAAAATTTTAAGATGCACGATTGTATCTTCGAACGTGTGCCGATCACTCGACTGTAATTTCGTATCCGTGTCACGAGACCGCGTCTAAAGAAAATAACGTAATGAGCTAAAAAATGAAAAAAATCATAGGAAATGCAAGGTAATGGGGCGGGAGGGAGGGAGGGGGGATGGGAGTAAAAACGAATAACTCGGGGGAATGCACGTTCGCAATTTTGTTATTATACGCGAGCGTTCGCCAATTTATTATGATTGCACGAAGAAAAAAAAAATGGAAAAGATGCAAGAATCGCAATTACTCTAGTCCTAAGCGGTCCAGAAGCATACGGTACGCGAGATGCACGGTATTCGAGTGGTTGGACACGTTGTATTTTCTTTTTCGTTCATTTTAATTTTGTTTCAAAGTTGTGAAGTTGTATCGCATACCGTTTTACCAAAATACCCAGCAGCAAAATTCAGCAGCAACAGAAAAACAAAAATGGAAATAACAAATGCAGCAGCGGAAAAAACGATTAACCTGATATAAAAAGTAAAAGAGTAACGCACGATATGGACAACAACAACAACAAAAACTATCAAAAACAATAAAGAGTATTATTCTATATATAATAATGGTGTACTGATATTTTTTTATCCCCATCAACCCTTCTATATACGTATTTTAATTACGTGCATACCGCTAAAAAAATATTGTTAAGTATAAATGCTCTTTCAGCATTCTAATACTCAGTGTACGTAAGTTATACTTATTCAAATTAATTCTAAATTTTGTTAACATGGATTCTTTCATATTTGGATTAAGTGCATCTTAAGGTTATGGTGGTAATTTTAATGATTCGGTAGTAAAACAAGAATAATTTTGTCATTTTATTAACATATTTACAAAAACAGTGTTAAACAATAATTTAATGACGAATTAGGTACAATATAGCAAGCTATGGATTATGCCTTAGTGATATAAACTAATCAGGTATCATTCATTGCACAAAAGATTATTCAAATTCAGAGCATGTTATGTTTACACTATAGGATTGCATGTGTTGTTGGACTTCCACATATTCTTGAATTACAGGGTCACTTCGTTCATGTAACGCGATATGTTTTAGAATATCTTTCTTTTTCGTGAAAAGTTCGCCGCATTGCTCACAACGCAACGTTTTCGCGTGATGCGTTTTCGTATGTTTCAGCATATCATTTTTTTGGGAGAATTTTCGACCGCAAGTCTCGCAGGAAAATGGCTTCTCGCCTGTGTGGATTCTTACATGAACACCTAAGGCCCCCTTGCGTGTGAAACTCTTATTACAATATGTACACCTATGTGGTTTAATGCCCGAATGAATTTTCATATGTTGATTAAGGTTACTGGAACACTTATATTCCATTTTACATATTTTACAAACATAAGGACGCTCCCCAGTATGTATCCGTTCATGTATGAGACGCGCCTCTTTTGAAACAAACGATTCCCCACAGTACTGACACATGTGAGTTCTTTCTTTAGAATGTATAGATTTTTTATGATAAATTAAGGAATTTTTGCTCGCTAATTGTTTCCCACAAATGTCACATTCTACACTCATTCTTTCTCCTTTGTGTATACTTTCGTGATTTAACAACAGTGTCCGCGTTGAAAATATCCGGGTGCAAATTTTACATTGCCATACTGTTTTATCAGTACATTTTTTCTTAATACTTTCTATGATATCTTCTTCTGTATGCTTTTTCCTATGTAATTTCAATTCACTCATTGACTTACATCTATATGTGCAAACCTAAAAAAAGATAAAACATTCATTGATTGTTTCGGCTAACATCGGATAACTTTACTACTACTATACATACACTACATGTGTATACCAAATCTCCATTGTTATGTCTTTTAAGGTGGGTATTCATGTTTCCTTTACGGTTGAAAGATGCTCCACATATTGGACAAATATGTTTACTCATGCCATGAGACAATTTGTGTTGTCTTAATTGTATTCTCTTGTAAAAAGCTTTCCCACATTTTTCACAAGGGTACGGTTTATGCCCATTATGTTGGTTCATGTGTTCTCCCAAATGAAATCTAAATTATACATGTCACAGATTGAATAATACAAAATTGACAATTCATTTCAGGAACAGTTTATGGAACAGTAATTATAAGTTCACAAACGCTACCTAGATCTAAATCCATTTCCACAAATTTCACAAACGTGTCGTTTTTTCCTTGAGTCATCTAAATGAATCCTTTTGTGACCTCTTAAGTTATTGGAGTGTTTGAAGCTCTTCCCACATAAGTCACATAGGTAAGGTTTATCTACTCTGTGAGTAGCTTCGTGAACATCTAAACTAGACCATTTTTCATAACTTTTATCACATATAATACATTTAAATAATTGTTGACCTTCATGACATTCTGTAATGTGATTTAATAATTCTTTTTTAGTACTGTAACTGGATTTACAATGACCACATACTTTATTCGTTTCAACTACTGCAACAATACTTGCACTGTCAGAGTTTTCATGAATGTTGCAGTCTGCTTCAGTTACATTTAGTTTGTCTGGAATTTGGTAATGTTTTTCTCCCGAAAGTTTACAATTTGAACGCCTATGTGCAGCGAAATGCTTTTCATTTTCGAAACGTCTATGACAAACATTACAGGTATTTGTAACAAATTGAAAGTTCATTGCTTCCTCTTTTGACTCAATACTGTTCGTATTATTAGTGATGTCCCTCTGTTTCTGTATTACCATTTCCTCTTCATCGCATAACATTTTGTGATTCTCAAATATTTCTTGAGTTTTAAATGAATCTTTACAATGAAAACATGCAATTCCATTAATATCATTTGTGGAATCATTTACTACAGTTTCAATCACAGGATTATCTTTGTTTTCTTCATTGTATGATTGAATAAATCTATTCAATTCAGACTGCATTTCTTTTTTTACATTGCTTGAAGAGTTAGTTTTTTTTATATCAATATTTTCCAGGTAACTCAATTTTGTGGATATATGTTGGGTTATTATGATTTCTTCAACTTTATTTGGAGATAATTCTGTAGATGTAGTTTGAGTACATTCGTTCGTATAGATTTCCTCTGCTACTTCTATGGAACATTTCTTGGCTACTTCGTTATATTTCTTCTCATAATTAAGCTGTAACATAATATATTGAACTATACAAATTTTTTAATTGCATCTACTATATAAGCTAAAATGTACTTACTCCTTCATTAATATTTAAAAACCGTTTTAATCTCATATCTGTTTTCAAAGAAGTTATAACTAATAAATGTGCTATTTCTAATTTATTATAACAATTTATACATAGTCTTTGTGGCATTAAGTCTTCCATATCAAGAATTATTGGCAGGTGTAAACTTATTTTTTCTTTTAACTTTAATTCCATGCCTTTCTCAGCAAATATTTCTATACCATCCAAAGATGGTTCTCCACATATCCGGCATAAATTTGGAAACCTAATACTAATATCACGATACTGATCTATCTCAGAATCTATATCACAATATGATAATACATTGTCCGTTACTTCCACTTGTTCATTTCTATCAAAGTCATTTCTTGAATCTTTTTCTCCTGCATCATTTGATTCAAATAATGTAGGAACAGCATGCTGATCTATTATAATAGGATCTGTTTTATTTATATAATAACGATCCTCAATATGATGAGAACATATATAATAATTTAAATGTAATTCTTCATTTGATTTCATTAAGAGATCTGTTCTACCGCAATGATGTGCCCATATTTTGGACCTGAAAAAATAACATTCAATAGGTCTTACGAATAACGTTTTGTTGACCTTCATAATTTAAGAAGAAAATTAACGGATCATAGTTAATATCTTAAATGAGTCTCTAAATTATCTTTTAGGATGAAAATTATAAATTCGTGCAATCGCTTATAATATGTGTATAAAGCAATACTTTGTTAGTAGAACTGTCTATATTATTATAAGACTTACGTATCATCGTTCGGAAAGTGTATAAAAATGACATGGGCTGAGTTTTCAGCGTTCGATGAATATTTACAATTCTTCGCAGCACAAACCACTGTCATTTTATAGATATTTTAATGCATCAATAAAACTTGTTTATTTTGGGCTGTTTAAATACAGCGCAACTCATGTCAAAATGATTGTCAAACGATACGTCAGCTGTCTAATGTGTATGTATACTCTTCGATTACGTACTTTTCCCCACTCTTGCCTCCATTGTCGTATTGAACAAACGTTGCATGCTTCACTTACGCAAATATAACAAAATATATATAGAAAAATATTGTAAATCAGTTTACTGAGGAATCTTTAATTTGTACTGGAAGCAAAAGATTATGAAATACAACAGTCTTTTTAATGGTTAAGAACTACTTAATTCATCTACCGATTTACAGTAATTAATTGTTTATTGATAAAGCTTAGCGTAAATAATATTTATACACACATAGGGTATTTTTACTTGTACTATTTTTGATAACATTTTATACGACGTTGTCGTCAGTAGCATCACCGACTAGGTATAGAATAAACCTATCATCCAATGCTTTTTTCTGTCCCACGTTCATAGGGCTACGTAACCCTGTTACCGTTTTAGTGTCAATACCCGACGTTACCGATAAAGCATGAATTCTGAGTATTATTAGTACAAATGAAGTGTTATATATTCCATTCATATGTTCGAATGTTCAAGAAGAGGTAAAGAAGTTTCATATTTGCAATTATTTTGTGATACTGTAATAGAAATCCGTATCCTGTGAGAAAAATCGTATTTAACGATATGAAATGTATAATAAATAACGGTCTTAGGGATTTCTAATGGAGAGCTAAATCGTTAAAAGGAATATGTTCCTTAAACAAATTAGTTAAAAATGATATTTATTTGGGGAATATGAACATCATAAATATACGAGAGCGGTAGAGCGAGCCGCGATATCGGTGCTCTCCGTCGGTGCCGACGTATACCGAACGGTGCCGGAGTTGGCCGGAACGGTTGAACGGGAGCGAGCGAGAGCGGGAGAGCGAGCCGCGGTATCGGTGTCTCCGTCGGTGTGACGCGTGCCGAGGAATTTCGGTGGTCTATGGGGGGAGGTGTGCGAGCGAGAGAGTACGGTAGAGCGTGCCGCGGTATCGTTGCTCTCCGTCGGTCCAACGCGCTAGTGACGTTGCGTACCTGGCCGTACCATCTGGTGTTTGGGTCGTTCAAGGAGGAAGGTCGTTCAAGCCAGCAAAAACAATTCACAGGAACAAACCTGCGTACGCCCAATACATAACGGCGTTAGCTTCCTCACTTTCTCGTGAGCCGTCGCGGAGGGTGGGCGCGCGTCTCATACTCGTCGTTTCTCTTGTTACTAACCCATTGTTTGTTGCAGGCATTCGACAATCACCGTATAAAGGAACCTGTTATTTACTGTGCATATTGTTGTGTCCCCTCTCTTGTTACTAATCCCTTGTATGTTACAGATGTTCGAGAACCATTGGCTTCGATATTTATTTTCTTGTGTACTGTGATTCATTTACTCTGATTTATTTACTGTG